TTTTTTATTTTTAAATTCCATTACAATTCGAAGTAATTACGCGGTAGTAATGTAATTTTTTCCAGTTCCTTTGAAAGGAATTGAGATTGTGATACATTGTTTTTTGAATTCATTTGAAAAGAATTGAAAAATAAAATTTTTGAAAAAAAGTATTATAAACACTGGTTTACAGCAAAAAATGTTCTATGGATGCCACTATCCAATTCCTATGTAGAATTGCTCGGTGATTCCGAAAATCGTGATAATTTTTTTTTCTATGGATAACTTTTCGAGATATTTGCAATTTACCGTCATTCAAATTAAAAAAAAAGAGTGGTTTCACTTAATCACGTATATTTTATGAACCAATTAGCCAATCGTAATGCGAGAAACGGTAAATGAAATCTAATAAAAATCTCAATAAATCATGGTATATACATCACTTTTCGATAGCTCTAATAGTTTCTCAGAAATTAATTAATCATTTATGGCACTCCTTGTTTCGATGCAAACACTCTACCAACTCATGTGTACGTGGCGTATGAGTAACACTCTTTTCTGTTCATATTTCATACAAAAAATCCTTGCGCATTTTCATTTGACCAATCGTTACTTTCTTATTTATCAATCAAAGTGCAAAACATTTACACAGAAGCTGTTATTTTTGAATTTATTCCCTGTTAAAATTTATTTTTTTTTTTTTTCTCAGAAAATATCAGGGCTATCGAAAATTGATGTAATTACGGTTTATGGTGAATTTTATTTGCTTTCATTTGCCGTATCTCGTATTGCGATAACACGATTGTTTATTAGGAAAAATTTAAAAACCAACAAAGTCTAAGCGGTAGAATTTATAGCAGCTATTTCGGAGATCACCACATCTCCTCATCAGACTTCATCCACGTTTATTACATTCTGTGTGGGAACGAAGTTAGGACGAATTAAATTCCACCGATAAAAAATTTTCAAATATTTAACCAAAAGGCACATTTAAATTCTCTAATATCAATATGAAGAAATTTTGCTTTTTTCACTTGAATTGATTTCTAAAATGTTAGGTATACACGTTGCTTATAAATACATATCGTCGTTTAAAGTACAAAACTGCGTATCAAGATAATTTCAAAACCTCGTATGGGAGGCAAAAAATGTCTTACTTCACAATGGTTCTCTCTTTTATCTCTAATTATATCTACTTTATATGTCTAAATAACGATATTTTCATATGAATGGATAAGGCTTGATGCCAGGAGGCACCGGCGAGCAAAAGTAATTGTTGGCACAAATGTCAGTTACGAGGTTTTTCACAACCACAATACGCGTTTTTGTACTTTAAACGACGATATGTAGCTATCTACATATTAACTTGTTTATAATATTGAACAACTTAACTTAGTACAATAAGAGAAAATATGAAATGTTAATGAACTCTTCCGAAAAAATGTGAGCACTGTGTACAACAAAAAAATAACCTCTCGCAAAACTCATAATTTTCGTTAAGTATTTGTATTTCGAACTCTATTGTGCTAATGGCAGCAGCACTTGTATTGGTGCAGACGCATATATGCAAATTGCTAGAAGCATTTTTTATTGTATGTACAGTCGGTGTCGAATGTAAGTGTACACACCTTGTTCTAATACAATACGGCACGGTCGAGTTAGTTTGATATTTCGTCCCATATTTTTGTTAAATCCTTTTTGAAATCATCCAAAGTCATGTTATTTATGTTATCTAGTGTGCTTGAAATACAGACCCAAACTCTAATCCAATGGGTTTAAGTATAAAGAAGATTGAGGCCAATTTTCCGCTGAGATAAAACCTGGGAAAAAATTTATTTTCACCAACTTTTCAAATTCCTCGCTTTACTTGTCGGGAAAAAATCCTGTTGAAAATAAAATGTTCCATTTCCAGACATTTGTACTGCATTAGGATCAGATGGCCTATAAATACAGTCTTAAGATAATATTCGAACTTCTTTGGCCCTTTTATCGAAAAATTTAATTTGATGCTTGACATTTTGCGAATCGCGACTAACCCCATCGCGGGAGAAACTTTTTGGAACTATTTAAAAGTTTCTTCTTACTATCGATTTAAATCTAAAATAAATAATTCCCTAATGTTTCCAATTAGTGGACGAAGTAGCCCTTTGATGTATATGCTTTGTTACAGAATGAATATTAAATTCGAACAAGGTGTAATATTTAGTCTACTGGCTTGCGTATGATACAGATGTTTGATATTTTTATTCGCCTTTATATTGTTCGATGTAGACCTTACCCAGCTGATTAAATTTAATTTTAAATATGTATGTACAAGCTCAGCATTATAATTTTTTGGGCTTTTAACCTTGAACTTGAATTGTATTATAGGTAAAAAATTAATTTTTATTTGCATCTTTATGTGATGTGATGTTATTTGATACAAAATTCTAATGAAAAATTACTTCAGAATATTGCTGTTTTCTAATAGCGGAAATAGATGATGCTGTATTAAAAAAATTTAAGGTAAAGCAAACATCTTGCGATTGTGGACAAAAATTCTTTTTTTTTTTATTACAAGTTGAATAACTCAGTCAGATTTCAACCGATTTTTTAAAGCAAACATCCGTTTTACTCATTATTAAACGTAAATTTTGAATCAATTCAGGAGTAGTACAGTTGCTTTATAAAACAGTGCGTAAAAACATTGCCAAAGTGGAAAAGAGAAGAAAAAAATGTGAACAAAAATTTTGTTTGCTGGGCAAACACACAGATCTCTTAAGTTTTCTAAAAGTTTACATATATCATTCGAAAGGTCTAAACTCGGTTGATTATCAACCAAGTTACTAGCTTATAAGTGCGGTATTCAGCTATGAAGATTTGTGGAAATTCGGGCATTTCAATTTTCAAAGATTTTTACCTGCTTATTTACCGGTTACACAATTTTTGTTACCAGCGCAGAATTGACCTGTTAATCAGCAGAATTCTCCTTTCTGTGTTGCCGAGCAAAAGGGGCGGGCCACTCATCTGTTGTAGAGGGCATATAACATTTCTTGGCCATATGAATATTCAATATGTATGTGTGAATATCTAAATGAAGAAAATAATGAAAACATAGATCAGGACTAAGGAAAAGATAAAGATGAAGATGAAGATGCAGATAAACATAAAAAAACGATAGAAACAAACATAGAGAAGAAAGTGATAGGGATAAAAGAGATAGAACTGAAGAATTGCGATGTCATGTTATGCTATGAAATATTATGTTATGCTAAGTATTAAGTTTAACTCCCCTGCACTTAACCCATTCCAACTAATGTTATTTCCCCTCAACTCAACTCACATGTACTGTGCTTAATTTTAGCGGTTGGATTTCAACCGCTGGGCGAACACTAGTTTTTTAAATTTGGAAATTTTTAATAAAGCGTAGACTTGAATATAAGTGGGTACAAAACTTTTTTGATTCGGGCCACGCGTTTGGACGCCGCAACCAAAAATCGTTGTACAAATAACTAAACCGTACCCAACCGTACTCAACATTTTAGATAATTTTTACGCGGTTACAATGTTGGCATCGGTAATTGAACGAAAATTCGACAGAAAAATTTACGTGGATAACCAAATTGTAGAATACCCGTCCTTCCTTTTATCTCTAAACATCTTAACTAATGGTGGTTAACGAAAACTTTAAATACATATTTCATAATTGTAACAGCCGTATTATTGAAATAGATTCTATGCAGCAAAATACGTAGCTACAAAAATGTAGGCATTTGTTAACACGTATCCCAATTTACTTACAGCCTATCTTTAGAATATTTCCTACAGTTACAAGTTGTTTCACTATGCAGGTTCAAAATTTTAGATCACAGTCATTCTCTCAACCAACAAAATAAAATTTTAAACTGCGATTGCATATCGTATAAATATATCTGCTCAAAGCTTTAGTCGATAAATTAAAATGGCACTGAAAAATATATCGATAAACATTGATGTGTGTATGATGTTTGAAAGCATGTTCACATCATAAATATGTTCACATATCAATATTATCTCAACCAAACCTCGTTTTTTAATCACCCCGTTTACACAGCCAAATCTCAGATTATTAGCCGTCAAATTTGTTGTGCTTGTTATTCTCACATCTCAAGGAAAAGTTATGTTTCTTCTCTGTGCCACCGTGATCACATTTTTCTGCTATATTAAGCAATATAAAGATATTTTAACTTAACATTTTATTAAAAATACCTTTACAAGCCTCTTTTCCTTGCCAGCGTCCATTTTTCTTTACTTTTACGTTTGGCATTTCTCCTCTTTTTCGCAAAAACAATCGATAAAACTAGGATAGACACCGAAAAGTTATCGGTTATTATTTTATAATTACAGATTAACAAGGGACGAATTTTATATGGTTAATCTCTTGTTCTAATTACAAATAAAACTATGTTCACATATCAATATTATCTCAATCAAAGCTCGTTTTTTAATCACCCCGTTTACACAGGCAAATCTCAGATTATTAGCCGTCAAATTTGTTGTGCTTGTTATTCTCACATCTCAAGGAAAAGTTATGTTGCTTCTCTGTGCCACCGTGATCACGTTTTTCTGCTATAATAAGCAATATAAATATGTTTTAACTTAAAATTTTATTAAAAATACCTTTGCAAACCTATTTTACTTGCTAGCGTACATTTTTGTTTACTTTTACATTTGGTATTTCTCCTCTTTTTCGCAAAAACAATCGATAAAACTAGGATGGGCACCGAAAAGTTATCGGTTAA